TATCCCATCCCATCCCATCCCATCCCATCCCGTCCCATCCTATTCTATCCTATCCTATCCTAACCTATCCTGTCATATCATATTCCCACCATACCCTATCCTAGTGGTGCGTGCTGTACGATGCCCTCCATTCTTACTATGTTTGAATCGTCATTTCTAAATGAGGTAATATTATTTAGATCATATTTTCTTCCAGGACAACAGGTTTGATGTTTGCTGCTGTATTCCGCCCAGGAAAAAGTCAACAAAACCAAAGCATAGAGAAGTGTTGCATAGTTTCATGAAAAAGTATTATGCGCCCTTTATTGTAAACAAATGGGTTCGCCCAGTGATCGTGAGTACATCTTTTTAATCATTGCCGTAATAATTGCAAGTCTATTCCTCCGCATAGGATATGCAATTTTAGCAAAGAAAGAAATAGAACAGATTACTCAATGATATTAACACATGTTCAACAGAACCATGTTATATTCAACAAAATGTTACATAAACCCTGTTAGGTAAAATGTGCTGTACGTATTGTTTTGCAGATTATAACATTTGTTGGATTTATGTGTTGTTGTGTGGTATGGATGCCTCAGGTAACGATCGGATTGGATGCATCATTAGCTATGCCATCGGTGAGTTAGTCAACTATTTCAAATGTTATATTCACGATGAATACGCTTGATTACTCATGACAAAAACATTCCAACTTATATGAAATATAGATAGAAGAACATGTATGTTTTAGGCTTAGAGAAGACAATCAACATCACAGTACATTCCTCTTCTTCTTATTATTCTTATTATTTTTCTCCTGTAAATTGGGTTCGGCTGTAATTCCAATAGCGTTCGAACAATTGGTGAATTTGTTAACGAAGTGTAGATATGTTATAGAGCACAAAGTCGGGTGTGGATGATACTTCTTGTGGAGAACCGTGTTTGGTTAGTAGAGTTTTGGTAAAAGTATTCGTCATACTGTGGAGAAGAATAATGTTTAGCATAGTAGTTTTTAATTGAGCGATGTTTTAATTAAGTCAGTTAAAGTTGTTGAGCATGTATTTGCGAGACATTTGAAATTTAATGTTTTTTGCCGGATATCGTATTACCATGCATTTCCTTGTGCATGAACAATGCGGGGAATTTTCCATTTGTTTTTATGTAAATTTATTTGGGCTGTCAATCGAAAACCGCGCGATTTTTGGACATTTGTTTGTGTTGATGTATAGTAATTTATAATCAAAATTCTGACGTCTCCATAAAATGTAGTTTTTAATCGATTTTTAACTACCAGCCTGACTGCTCGTATACTTGATATGTCGGTACCTTGAATGGACTTCAGTCAGATTTCGTCAATTATCTATTTTTTTGGCTTCTTTGGTGAAAAACAATATTTGTTATTTTTTCTTGAAAACTACCTGCCCAATTGATTTGACTCGTATTTTTGCCTTATTCCAGGACTCGTACATACTTGATTTCTATGCTGATTTATCAGAATATCTTATGGTCGGTGCGCCAGTTTACTTCGTAGTGGTTGGTGGCTACAATTACTCAACAATTGAAGGACAAAACAGAATATGCGGTGGTGCCGGGTGTAATGCAGACTCGCTGACTCAGCAGATATACTATGCTTCCCAAGATCCTGAATAGTACGTAGGGGTATTTAGAAATCTACGTAAATGGCTGTCAAAATCTACTTGAGATCGATAAGAGGGCCACAATTCTTGTTTAACCCACTCAAATAAATTCTTTTTTCTTATTGAACACACTGATCCTCTGACCTATGTAAATATGGCAACAGAAGATGCGATGGCGAGAAAATTATTCGAGAAACAATTACACGTCTTGTGTCTCTGTTTACATCTCTGTTAATCTATCTATATGATAGCAAACTGATTTGATTAATATATAGCTGTAGATTTACTTATCAACTAATTTGTCACAAACTAAGTAGAGTGTATTCCAGTGATATATTCAGCTTAACTTGAGATTAAAGAGACCACAGAATCTGTTTCATACTGTGAAGGTTAATCCGTTCAATTTGTCGCCATCTAAGTATTAGGGATTGGATGGTTCTCCATTTGTCAATACCGGGAATCTTTCCCGGGAATATAGCTCGTTAATTCCAATAACTATACAAGCAACACGACAACATTCAATGTCCATCCATCGCAAACTCTACTCAACATTATCACATATAATATTATATTTTCTAAAAGATTCTGACATAAACCCTGCCCTCTAAAGTTGCACTAGCCATCACGTGAACATGACTCATATTCGAACATTGATAGACACTCCTGTACGTATATTAGTAGTGGCCCGTTGCTCAAATAGATATAACACAATGTATTCGCATGGAAATTATTTGAGTATGACTCATAATGATATATGGTGGGTGCCAGATGTTTAAAACAAATAAATAATTTCCTGTTTAATATAATATCTGCATATGTTTTTCATATATCTTTGATAATATACTGTGGTGGTTTGCATGTTTTTTTTATGAATTATTCATCAGTTGTGAATATTGTCGGTTGTTTGTTAGCTACTAGTTTTGTGTTCATAGATTTGGAAATTCACTTTAAAAGCTATGAATAAGGGAATCGTTTATGTATGTTGTTAATTTCTACTCTTTGTATTCCATTTTTTATTACAGTACTTCAATTGCTCTGCCTGCTATGTCCTGGATAGACGACCACTTGGATTGGGTACAGCCAACACTGACGGTGTTCAGGCCATGCTGTCGTACGTATCGTTTTGATGAAGACAAATTCTGCCGTTCAGATGGTATGTGCAACCGAAGATTTTATGCCATTTTAGATCGATAAATAATGCTTGCGTAATATATGTAAATGATTCAAAGTAGTTTATTGGACGTTTAAGGATATTCAAAGATTAAACAACACGATATAAATCATATCCGTTAGAGCTACAAATTACTCAGGCCAAAGTCAAAGACTCCGCTCTATAAACTGTAATGTTCAGCTGCATGGTAATTTAACCTTGTTAAAGATTTTATTAGAGTCACTTTGAGTTAGACTAGTGTATTCAAGGACCCTCTGTTGATCAAGAATTTCATTCAAGTATTTGTCCAGTTTGCATTTGGAAGTCATTTTACTGCAGTTCGTTGTTTCCCGAATATATTTTCGCGTACAGTTGAACAATCTTGGGCCATGAACCATAAAGTTTGCATCCTTCAGTAATCTAGTGAGTATATATGATTTAGTATGAATTCCAAGAATCTGGCAAAGTCTACCCATATGAGCAGATATGAACCATAGAATTCCCCGATTCGGCACTTTTCAAGATGTATATAATTCTGTTTTTCTCCATTCTTTCTTGTGAGGACATTGTCTTTGAACACTTCCAAGACTTTGAATATCTTTGGCTTTGAGGAGATAGGTGGGAGCAATAATCAAAGAGGGGCTAGACAAGACTTGTGCAAAGAGTTTTCATAACAATTGAATTTGTTGCCGTGGAAGTGTAATATATCCAGCCACGCTTATTAGTAGTTTTAGTGACAACCTGTTTTATGTGCCCAGAGAATGTGTCATACTTTCCGGGTCTGCTTTGTTGCAGTTGAATTGAGAACAAATAGATATTTCATTTTGCTGAATCATTCGAGTTGTGTAATATAGCACAGGTGATGTAATGTTATGATCAGATAAAACAGTAGGTGGAATGGTATAGCGATGGATCATATCTGCATTGTTGATTAAAGAAAGGTCTAGAATATCATCTTTTCTTGTTGGTCTTAGAATATATTAAGACATAAATATGATACCCTGTGTAGATTAACGGCAGAAAATCTTATTTATTTTCTGCTTTCTAAAATCCAGATAGTATTTCTCCATTTGACCATTCAGCATGAGGAAAATTGAAATCCCCTAGAAATAGTAAATCAGGTACCGGACAGCCAACGAGATTTAATACATGTGGTGATTTTAAACAAGATTTCCTGGAAGGCATGTGTACGATAATTTGGAAGTTAATAGTTCATAGCCAGAATCAGGTTCAAGCATGTGACTTTAGTAATTATGATATTTCTGGAATAGTGTGAGTGACGCAGCAACGTGATACAAGATTTCTGACTATATAGTAACACTTCGCTAGGCAAACTTGTAGTTCTATCACTTCTGAAAGATGTAAGACGTTCAATGTTTATCTTACTATCTAGTACTTCTGGCTTTTAATGCAATACATTCAGCATCATAAAAAATTGCAGTCATTGAGATAGGAAACTTTATTTTGGTTTGTCTATGAACGAAGTCCCTGTATATTACAAGTTTGTTTGAACAGAGTGCTTGGCCAGTTTCTTGGGTGCTTGGCATCTGATGATTGTTGGTTTGGTTTTGGGTCATCAGCCTCTGCAACAGATTTGACTGACCTTTTTGTGTTATTGATTTCCCTTGTATGATTGGTTTGCCTCCAGCCTATGGTGGCGATAACGGTCGGGTTGGTTGTTGGGTAGTAGGTTCCCACCATTCATGTGTATCTGAAAAAGTTGAAATAATTTTCCCCTGTTGGTGCATGTCATTTTGTTACAACTTACAATTTTCACTATTTTTTGTTTAGGAAAGAGTAACATAGTTTGGGATGAAAAGTTACTTTTTTGAGCTTCTGTGTGGTTTTGAATGCAGATATGCATATTCTTAACAGTGATACAATATTTGCATCTACTGTTCCTGTATTGAATGCAGATTGTCTTTTGTATAAGAATTTTTGGATGACTTTCACGTTTTGATTTATTCAGTTGAGTGATAGATACATCCTTTCTGTGTTTTCCACCAAGAATCCCTCTGGTATAGATTCAGACGACTAGATGTTTACCATTTTTTGGCAAGCCAATTTTTGCCCGAAATTCACAATGAGAGCATAAAAGAGGGAGGTAGAGAATCATCGGCTCCGTCTTGTTCGATGTAGCTCATTTCATGAATACCTAGACCACAAGGAAACATTCCAATAATGGTTTGCTACCAAATTTAGTACAGCATATTCCATAAGCCTCAGGAAGCAAATTTATAATCCCGTTTGCAAGAAGATTGGTTTTGGTGATGTTCACTTGTTTTTCATGGTTTAGGAATTTAGCTGTCTTTTTGGTTGTATTTGACAATGACCGACTTGATGTCAGGACATTTGCTAGGGTAGCTAAATTGACCAAGACTTCAGCTGATTGTCATCAAGTATTCAACTATTATTCACTACAAGTATTCACTCGAGATGCCACTTTTATTACGTAAGAATGAAATACCTTGCAAACAGGTTATTGTTAAGTAATGCAATAGACTTCCAAAACACAGCAGAAATTGGCTTGAAAATTGAGCAGAATTGTCACAAGATGTGTCAAAATAGTCAGTACTAATTCATGAGTTTGTAGTAGAGAAGATAGTAAAGTTGAGGACAGCCAGAGTCACAAACAACATAAAAAACCATGTAGCATCAAGAGAGAGCTCTCCTATATAATATAATATAATAATATAATATAATACAAACAAAATATTTCAAATGTTGATTTTCATTCTTTGTTGCATACCGCAAATCGTTTCTATGCATATAGGTATATATTGTGTTGTGTTTGACATCCATGAATTTAACTTTTGTATTATTACTATTGTGTTTATGAAGACCCAGGAATAACTCTCCCTCAACCACTTCCGGGGTTAGTCCCTGACAATATCGCAGAACATTCGGACGCTCTCAAAACACTAAACTGCAAACCGTGCCTTGATTTGGAACAGAGTGGAGAAAGGCCGACTGTGCAGCAATTCAACAAATATCTGCCATGGTTTCTTGATGATCTACCGACAAAAACATGCCAAAAAGGGTGAGTTAAGCGTCTGTCATAAACAGTTAGTTGTTTACACTGCATGGACTTTCATGAACTCTTGTGGCCTTTGAATTATCTCGAAGAGAGCGCAAGACATCTTTTAAGTCACTGGGACAGATATTAGCTATATTTACGTTAAAATACACATTAATAGAAAATGGATAGTTCCCTATTTAAAAGAATGAAAGAAAGTCATACAAGCGAAAGATCAAGCAATATACATTTGTACCAATGTCTGACTGTTATTTGTAATTATTTACAGTGGGAAAGCTGCTTACTCGGCGTCCGTCGAAATGCTCTTCAACAACACAGTATACTGGGGTAGGCCAATTTTTCACAAGCCATCACTCGAAAATTGTATAGGTTCTTTTCATTTTTATTTTGGTGACCTAATAAAAAAGGTTGGTGTTTGTTTGTGTGTTATTTAGAAAGAATACAGATGCATTGCCCACTCTCGTTCAGGCATAGACTATTCCCACTAAGTTGGTCTAATTTGCATATATCCACGTTTTATTCAATATATTAAATTATCATAAATTTATTTTGCAGCTACCAACTTCATGACATTCCACACCGTAATGATCACCTCTCAAGAGTTCACAATGGGTTTAGCCAAAGCACGCAACATTTCGGATAACATCACATTATCCCTGAACGCCGACGGTGGTGATCACTATGTCTTCCCTTACAGGTTGGTAATGAGATACCTATTTTTCTGACGTGAACCCGATCTTGAATTACATAGCAAAAGTTGATCTTACTGTACATAATATAAGGTAGATTCAAAAAAGCATCGTCCATCATTGCGTAGTAGTGTCAAAGCCAGGCGCTAGACGTGTTGCTAAGATTTTGCTCATAAACTACACTTGTTTGCTATAATTCTAGTTGTTAAAATGTTTCAGTTCTAATGTGATCGAGTTTTGTTTTCAGTCTCTCTTACATCTACTACGAACAGTACTTGACCATGGTTGAAGACTCTTTGTTCCAATTGACCATAGCTTTAATTGCTGTATTCTGTATCAGTTTTCTTCTACTTGGATTCGACATCTTGTCCACCGTGTGTATAGTCTTGACTATCACTATGATACTTATCGACATGGTGGGATGTATGTATCTATGGGACATCGATCTCAATGCCATATCTTTGGTCAACCTCGTGCTGGTGAGTGTTGTGAAATAGACAATTTTCCGTCCACTGCGAGATCTCGCGTTATGCGTGAAATCGAACTTAAGTCATATTATCATAGTGGCGTCAAGAGCGAAACTAATTGTTTGTATATGTCCACATATGTCTGTGATATGTCTGTGATCCGCTCCTTTCATTACGCAAGATCTCGGAGTGGACGGAACATCGCTTCTTTGCTTCTTATTTGCCTGTGACATTTGTATCACTTCATTTGTCGCGTCGAACTATGTACTTTTGTCATGGCATGTTATATGTCACCTGGTCGTATTGATATGCGGTGGTGGTGCGGTTGTTGTAGAAAAATATGGCGGAATTAGTTATCTCCTTGTTTTACGGTTTCGTGAGTGCCAGAATCAACACATCAGTGTTATTGGGTCATCGTCATGGAATATTACAACTTGCTGGACATTTGTATCACTTCATTTGTCGCGTCGAACTATGTACTTTTGTCATGGCATGTTATATGTCACCTGGTCGTATTGATATGGTGGTGGTGCGGTTGTTGTAGAAAAATATGGCGGAATTAGTTATCTCCTTGTTTTACGGTTTCGTGAGTGCCAGAATCAACACATCAGTGTTATTGGGTCATCGTCATGGAATATTACAACTTGCTTCAACATGCAAATGATTTTTAGACTGATATAAAGGGCAGACTGTTTGACTGAATGATATATCAGGGATACTCTGTGGACGAGGCTGCAATCAGTACTTTTTCAATCACCTGATTTACATAATTTAGTCAAATTGTAGCTGTTCCACGGAATAGTGTTACGTGGTATTTATTTTTCTGAACACGCCATCATTATCCGCCATTTTGTCGTCTTTGCTTGTAGTTGGTTGTTATACAACAACTAAGGTTATCCTATAACATAAGCTCTTGGGTCTGTCAAGCGCTTTAGCGAGCACGTCATGCACGGAATTGGAACGAGCCCGCCACGTTACCGACGTAACCGAACAACTCACCCGCGCTCGAAACCAGATCTAACATCGTCTCTTCTCTTACAGGCTGTTGGCATGTCTATTGAATTCATCTCTCATATCACTCGATATTTCGCTTTCTGCACGGAGAAGACCAGGGTTAAGAGAGCAGAGAAAGCTCTGGCACACATGGGTAGCTCGGTAAGATTGAATGCTTTTGTAGTTCTACATTCTGAGGTAGAAGCCTTCTCGTTGTTAGCTGGTTGGTCATAAATCTCAGTGATTTAATATATACACACATGGTAATATCAAACATCACTGGGCCGTGTGATGTAGTACTGTAGATAATTAGCTAAGTGTTATTTCTAAAACAGTTCAATAGAACACAATGTTAAAGAACTTTTCAAAACACAGATTTTTAAAATAATTCAGGTTTAACAACATTTTGAGATATGGTATTATGTCTTATAAAACCATCATAGTGAGGATGTTCTAATAATGGCAAAATGGCCATCATTTACTCAAATATAACAACTTTTTTTTTAAAAAATAGACCAGTCATTCAAAACATGTTTTAAGTCAGCATATATATTTAATTGTATAATGTACAAATTATGGATATTTTCCTTTAGGGTTAGGGTTCGACCTTAATATGACTTACGTTGCATGAATATAGATGGGTATAGTTTACATCAGTTGCGAGTAGTCATGTGATAATATGTTAATATGTTTAATTCTCCAGATTCTCAGTGGTGTTGCACTCACCAATTTAGTCGGTACTATACCATTGGCATTTGCTAACTCCCAGTTGTTCGTGGTGTTCTACTTCCGAATGTTTCTGTTGATAACGATACTCGGTTGCGCACACGGTATCATATTCCAGCCCGTTCTGCTCATTTATTTGGGTAAGTCATTAGCGACGAATTGCGATGACATGATTTCAAAATGTTGTACACTGGTATTGACTTTATATTGTGTTGACACTGTTGTATCTGCTTTACAGTAATTACCTGGGGCGATGCAGTCACGAAGACCTGATTTATTTATACCGTGACGTCACACTAAATCCTCTAAAGCGGGGGAGTCGTCACCTACGCATGCGTCAGGTGGTCATAGCGTGACATTGTTTACAAACAAGCGTCTACCCATGAGCCTTTGCGTTCTTGGCGTGTGTTGTTTTCATCGCTTGGGACTCAAATCCCGCGCGTGCACATAAAGTCTTATAATTCTGAATTAAATAATTCTAGCTGTAATTGTATATAAAAGTTACCCATTTACAAACTAGTGGGGGAAAATTGTAGATTAAAAAGGGAAAATATGAAAAGGAAGAAAGGGAAGAACAATCAAAAAATGAAAATGACTATAGTGTAAAACAAAGGGAATGTAGTTAAATAAGAACATCGCGACTACACAATTTACACATCCCTGTTTAAAATTTTTTTACTCCTTGAATAATTTTGACACCAGTTGTCACGTGTTGTTCTCCATAGGTCCAAAGGTAAACAAAGCAAAACTTTTTAACGAAAATCAGAAGTTTGGCGATGCTGATATTGACAAGGTCAAGGACAACATAGTGATGTATGAAAACACTGCACCGATCTACAGTAAGAATTTAAATTTGAAATATTAACATATATCTTTTATTGTTGTTTGATAATGTGTGTTGTTAAGACATCAATACGCATGTGCAAAATAAATCATGCGCATGCGTATTAGAGACTGTCAGTGTTTAACGGATTAGATACTTGATTAGTTGTGTGTTAAAAGAACAAGCTTTTTCCTTCATGATAGATCATAATCAATGTGTTCATCAACATAAAGTACCAAACACAATTAGTTAAAGAAACAAGTTCGCGTCAATTCTGTTTGCGTGTTGTTATGAAATGTGTATTTCAGGTAATTTTAATAACTATATTCTGCAATGGTATGTGAAACGCATTCATGAACGCAGTAATCATTTAGTTGCGCCCTCTAGCGACGAAGCGATCAAGTGACGTCGAAATGACGTAGATGGGTGTATGCAAGGTATTTAAAATAAACAACTATATGTAGTTGTTCGCTATTCACAGCATTGCAAATAAAAAAAAACAATATTTGTTATAATTGCTGTTGGATGACCGCAGTTCGAAACACTATTGGCACTGCGAACAGATCACTTTCCCGGAAGATTTCGGTGCAGATATACGCCTCACTTGTCATGGCGAAAAATAAAAACATGTCAGTTCGGTCGATTGGTACACCCAGAAGAACAATATCGCGCGTACATGTTTACGTTACATCCATGCGTGTGAAACGGCGTATCTTCGACTTCCGGGAAAGTGATCAATAAACTCGTTTGCGTCACAAGGTTCTCTGTCGCAGAAGGGCATGACTTTTAATAATAATAATAATAATAATAATAATAATAAATAATAATAATAATAATAATAATAATAATAATAAT